TCGTCTGGTATTATTCGGGGTATAATGATGCTTTTCGTCGTCACTATCGTCGCTATCGGGTGGCATAAAGACCCATTCTAAGAATTGTCGGTTATGGAGGGCATCGAACTTCATGCTGTCGTAAAGCTCAGAAAGTTTACTGGGATCAACCTTCTCCGTATCGCAAAATTCGGCAAAAAGCTTCTCCCATCGTTCTTTGAAAAGCATGGGATCTTCACCTGTACACCATCGTCCTTGAATGGAAGACAAAGAAGGCTTTTCGCATCCTGTGTTAGGCTGGAACGATGGGCAGCCGTCATTCATTCCATCTGTCCCAGAATGCTGAGACGATGATTCGTCAAATCTGCGGAAATTGTGTCTCATAACATCCCGATGAAACTTCATCAGTTCAACGACGGTAGCTAGCACGACTGATGGTTCCGGGATATTGTCCTTTGGCCACGTAAACTGCGAGGGCGCGGATCCTTCCCTTAAAAGGAGCTTTAGTTTCTTTTTCACCTTATCCATGAGATCCTTCGCAGCATTCGAGTCGTCCAGAAGATCTTTTCGGACTTGTATGAAATTTTCGGGAAGCTCCTTCTGATCGAGAAAGGAGCAAGCCCATATTTGGGCTATATTACTCATTAGAATTAGACCAGAAAGAACACTGTCTTGACTTACCACTAGTGCTCACTCTTCGTTCAGAGCTTGTATATATGCGGACATTATTCAATGCTTCCTTATTCATGAGCTTCAGATCATCACGCATGTTAAGCCCTAAATCCTGCGATTGATAGCGTGCTGCATGTGTTGGTTCCCCACCCCACTTGATTACGAGTTGGAGTTTGTCTAGGATCAGGTCGTTTTCTGCGGCAGAGAATCTCGAAAAGGTTGCACCGGATATCGAGTCACTCCGCGTTTGAGGTCGACTGAGTTGATCCATTTCTGCGGGATGCTGGTCTTGCGTAGATACAAGTGATTCATGCTGCGGTGGCTCAGAAGGGGATGTCGGGAGGACCGACGAAGTCTGCCCGCGTAGCTCTTCCGGCTTCCGCTTGCGAAACATTGGTTTGATCTGGACCTTAGTCCCTGGCCAGCCCCCTTTCTTCTCGAGTGACGTTCGGAGCAGCTTTAACTTGTCCATATCTTCAAGTTTCTGGTCCATGGCAACCTTGACCGCATCCGAAACGCTTGCCAATGCAGCCTCACCCTTTATCACTACCTCTTCTTGATGGCCTTTGAGCAAGTCAATGAAAGGCTGGCTGTGAAACGTAAATTTGAACTTCTGCTTGGGTGTGCGATCTGCGTGTCTGATGACAGCTACCATTCCCTTGAGTTTCCAAGAGTGTTTCGAAGCTGGCGGCGGCGGCAGGCCCTCGGTAGGCAGATCCACTGGTAATATTGACGACTTAGAGTTCTGCGAAGTATAGATCTTGGGGTGCGCAAGTTTATCGAGCCCACTATGGTCTACATGGCCGTTTCCATTGTCGACCTTCTCCGCGGATGATGAAGTGATTGGTCGCGAAACAATGGAATCAGACGAGCCTGTGTCAGAACTTCTTAAGCCCGCTTGGCTTCCGTGAAGCTTCGATGCACTTGGGGATTTTAGTAGGGTCTTCAAGGTGTGTCTGTGGGACATAGAATGTCTCCAAGAATGTCCAGAATCAGCAGGAATAGCATCGACTGGCTCAACAAGTCCTTCGAGTTTGCGCCTTTCATTCAGGAAAGTGTCTCTCAGAATAGCAGCGCATCTGTCGTAATAGTCATTGTTGTCTTTGACAAAGCTCCAGCCGTTAACGTCAATCACATAACTTTTCTCCCCCACGCGAAGCATGTCGAACCCGCATATTCTCTGGCCAAATCCATTTGATATTTTAGAAGCAATAGCTGCTTCATCCCTGCTCAGTTTGGTTATATACCTGAGCTCTTTTCCATGGGTATTGCGGCGAACGAGTCCGTCAACCACAGGAGACTTCCGCGTCTCTGCATGGCAGAAATCTGGACCGACTGTGTAGGCTTTGACATCCTCTGAATTATCGACCCTCAAAAACTGTTCATAGATGTAGCTTGTATCCGTTTCTGTGACTGATCTGGGGACGGTAAGGTCGGGGTCGTATTCGGAGCTTTTGTTTCCGACCTTTCGAAATAGCCTTCTACCACCGCCACTATATTGCTGGTCATTAGGGAAGTATATATGGATATTGTGGTCTTCCCCGTTTACTGGCTTCTCAACGAAAGGTTTTTTGAAAACTTTGCCGTCAACAATAAGAGAATCGCCATCGTCAGATATCCTCACGTTCATTGTTCTCGAGGCTCCTCCACCAGTGCCATCACTAGGACCCTCGAGTTTCACTCCTGTCAGATTATATACATGCTCGGCGAGTTCTGGTGATTCCAGGGTAGGCCCTCCGTCTCGGTTAACCTCCAGTCTCTTGGGTGTTGGGACGCTCATCTGATCTAGTATTTTCAAGCAGAGACGCCTGTCCCATAATACCTTCTGCATGGGAAGATCATTGACACAGAATGGCTTTCGAAGTCTTGCATATGCGATAGCTTTGTCCAGCGGAAACCCATCAGAAAAGAATGCTATCAGGTATTCGCAGATAGGCCAATTCTCTACAGCTTCGTCGAGGATCACCTTGTCACCAAAGACAATTACTTCGAATCCACCTTTGGACTGAAGACGCGTCAATATGTTTTGGCTAGGCTTGCTGCGAGCTTTCACGTCCAATGCACAGACACCAATTCTTCCAAGGTGCGGTGTTCCGGAGACTTCAGCTTCACTGATGGAGCTTGCAGCCGTGCTCCCACTGAGCCTTCTGGGCGCTCGACTAGATGAGCGGACTGAAGGGTTAGGGCCTTGTCCAACGTTCCGGTTACCTGAAGAACTTTCGCATTGGTACGGCTGGGATCCTTCAACCTGCACGCCATTGGTGTTTCCCTTCGAAGAATTCAGGGCGGTCGGTTCAGACAGGAGGCTGAAGGAGCCTTTGTCTATGCGATCGGAGCCTACACTCGGCGAGGATGCTCGGGAGTCTGGCTTCGCTTCCATACTGGGGACTGTGGTGCCAACGTCGCTAGAAAGAGGGACAATGGGCTGGCTGACATCCATTGAACATGAAGCTTAGAAGTCTGGCACGAAGATGTCGGATAAAATGAGCTTGGTCACAGGTTGCCGCTAATCAGGTTCTGGGTAGAAGGTGCTTGCCGAACGAGGAGTCAACAGATAACGAAAAGTCAGTGGATGACGTATTTTGTCTTAGAGAATATGTCTTTAGACTAGTGTACAGTTTGTTGGTTGGTCCTTTTTCCTCAAAGGGAAAAATGAAATAAATAAATGAAATGAAATGAAAAGCAAAGCAAAGAAAAGACAAAAAAAGAATAAATCTAAATTGTTTATTTCCTCCTTTTCTTTCAATTGATTCTGGCCGTTGGCGACCGCTGTGAAAGTGGCGCAATTAAACCCTGTGGTAATCCAGCAGGAGCGATTGTGCATTGTGGGTACGCCCGTACGTATTGACCTTCCCGTTGTGCCGGGTCCAGCTCGAGGCAAATCGCAAATTGGTACTAATAGTCATTGAGAATTGCGGGCTGCGTTCAGCACTATAGGAATGTAATCAGGTTTGTTCCGGGAAAGATAATCTAATTACTGAAAGTCTACAGAGCACATTTCGCAGATACATTGTTCTGCTTGGTACTCCGTACAGTGTATAATCATACTTCCATACAGTGCAACTTGGGTATTAAGCTAATGCATGCAGTGCGGAGTCTAGCAATTTAGTTCCACAACTCGGATGGATCACCAACAGTTTATTATTGACACCCCTTGTTGAACTCGTTCCCGCATACACAGTACACAGGCCTATAGGCAATAGCGAATTCAGTATGTCTGTTCCCTTGCCTTTCCACCAAAGTAAGCACCAGATTATAGTGTTCTGTTTGGAGGTGCTCACAATACAAACCATATCGGATAAGTACTACTACCATTGATTCCTCGCGAAGCAATAGTTACTACTTATAGTAGTAGCCCCAACTAAGTACCTGCCTTGATTGAACTGCCGAATCGCTTTCTGCAGCTTATCACATTTTAGTCGATTTGTGGGGCTGTGAGCCAAGAGGGCAAATGGAAAATTAATCTGCTTGTCTCTGAAAGGGGCAGACATGGAATACTTACTATGGTACCTTTAAAGTGTAGACGCCCTAGAGATTGCAGCAGTACCTTGTAACTTACAAAGTCCTCTGTTTTACAGTGGTGTTCTACATACATCATTGGTCCATCGAAACGCTCTAAAACTACGAAGTACTTGCGTGTGTCGGATATTGGAATATTTAGGCCTTTCCTTATAGCTTTGCAAGAGATTAGATTAGTAGATGATTCGAAATCAGGCGGTTAAGCAGAGCTATGGTTACTTCTACCATACTAATCAAAATGAATGTTTCAATTGCCGCGCCATTACCTCCGCAGTACCATACCAATCAGCAGGGTATGTGTGCATGCTATGGAATCGTCATATGGATTTGTCAAACCCAGATTGTCATATGACTTGAAGGCTACGTACCTAAAGACTTCTATTTATGAAAATAATGCCTACCCATTACTCAAAAGCTTTACTTTATTACATTGCCTGTAGTAATTATCATTACGGAAGAACCAAGTGTTATAGATCATGTGACTGTGACTGCTAAGTGTAGATTGCTTTCATGAGACACCTGAACAGAGTGGCACAGAATCTCAATGTAGGATAACAGGTTCGAAAAAAGCTAAGAATTTTTCCGCAAGAGTAGTCCATAATATTGTTATCCAGTAGTAGTTACATTAAACGGAGTACCTATCTAGTACTACTACTAGTATAGTAGTAGGTCGTACTTCGCACACTGTAATTCGGACCAATAGGAAGCGTTCCTGTAAGCCGGAGATACAATAATTCCGTCGCAGATATGCCTCCAGGAAATATTTACTTTGGTTACCATTTAACTTACTGGCGCCTCGTTCACTCAATTACAGTCGAAATAAACGAATCATGCCGTCTTTGAAAGATGATGGCTTTGATTTGCCTCTCGCAAAACGGCAAAAGAGAACAGTCGCAGAGGGAATCGAGAAATCCTCGCGAACGCCTGGATCTAAAATCTTTTCGCCCTTCCGGGTAAGCAAAAAAATTACGTCGACGAGCGTTTTTACCGGGACGCTTGCTCGCTGCCCAGGTGTTTTATCATGAAAAATACTAATTTTAATGCAGACATTAGGACTGGTATCAACCGAAGTGCCCTTCACCTGTGTCCGCCTAGGCAAAGCGACATTCCAGATTACCACATCTGTAGGACGCTGCTTGCAGACTTATGATCTGAAGCGAGGCCTCAACTTGGTATTCATTAGTCGTCCTCAGACGCCAGATATCATCACTGCTACTTGTGCTTGGCAAGACAGGATCTTTGCAGCATGGGGAAATCTTCGCTCCGGCTCGGAAGGGGGTATATGGGTGTTCAAGAGAGGTAAAAAGATTGCGTCTTTAGAAGTGCCTGCTGGGTTTTCGGAGCCCATTGAACGGCTGCTTGTATTCGGCACATGGATCGTTGGCTGCAGCAGCAGGTGCATTCAAGTGTGGAAAAATGCCTCGTATCAACACTACACGACTCTCAGACCTCAACGTGTCGGTAACCTTTCAGATGAACCGGTGTATACCGGTCAAATCTGCAACATGCCGACATACCTCAACAAAGTATTCGTTGGCAGATATGACGGAAAGGTTGACATCTGGAATGTAAAGACCGGGAGGCTAGTATATTCTATGCCCCCAGTGTCAGCACATGCAGGTGCAGTGACTGCTCTTCAACCAACACCCGCGTTATCACTGATTGCTATTGCATACAAGAGTGGAGCACTATCTATCTGTAATGTTGAGACATGCCAACTGGCTATGACCTTGCGTGCAGGCTCTCCACAAATGGACTGCGTCACATCACTCGCCTTTCGGCAAGATGGCCTAGGTGCGGGCGAACATGGACGAACTGCTGGCATGATGGCCACTGGTTCCGTTGAGAGTGGTGATGTCACTATATGGGACCTGAATAACGGCGGAAGGGCGATGGGCGTCCTTCGTCGGGCACATGCACTCGCTGGTGAGTCGGGTTCGGGAATAAGCCATTTACAGTTCTTGGACGGCCAGCCTGTTCTGGTCTCATCTGGGAAGGATAATTCGCTCAAGACATGGATTTTCGATGAAATTCCATTCTCGCATATCCCCAGGCCTCTTCACATAAGGAGTGGGCATTCAGCTGCAATTACTGCTCTAGAGTTCTTGCCTTCGGGGTCTGATGGCTCCGAATTCAGTGGGAAGTGGTTGCTGAGCGCTAGTAAGGATTGCAGCCTCTGGGGTTTCAGTGTAAGGAAGGATAGCCAGAACACCGAGATTTCTCAGGGAGCTGTTGAACACAAATCCAAAAAAAGGGGTGCATCCAGCACCTATACTGGTGTCACGCATGCTAATTTGGACACCGACTTCCGGGCACCGGAAATTACCTGTATCGCCTGCTCCTTGAACCGCGATGGCGGGATGGGAACCACGACGTCCGGCCCCATCTGGGCGAATCCTAAAACAACAAGAGCAGAAGATTCGAGCAAGACGGGCTGGGAAAGTATAGTTACTGGCCATCGTGGAGATAAATATGCTCGGACATGGTTTTGGGGCAAAAAGAAAGCCGGGCGTTGGGCGTTCGAAACCAGCGATGGAACTGAAGTCAAGGTAAGCAAATACCTCGGTATATCGAGAACTTTCTTTCTGATACCTTTGTGATAGAGTGTCGCTCTTTCACGGTGCGGAACCTTCGCAATAATTGGGTCTGCGGGAGGTACCATTGACATGTTCAACATGCAATCTGGTCTATACAGACAGAGTTTCCCAGCCAAGTCTCCCAAGGGTGATCTTAAACAACGGCCTACTCCGTCGCCCATCTCTGAGAGGCATGATATCAAACACACCAAAGCAGTCACTGGCTTGATGATTGATGGACTGAATCGAACTGTTATTAGTTGTGGACTCGACGGTAAAGTCAAGGTAAGACCAACTCCCCTCTGTGCCTGGTTTAAAAGTTGACTGAGGTTGTCATTTCAAATCAGTTTTGGGACCTCGTGTCGGGTCACCTGGTTGATCAGCTTGATTGGTATCCTATGACTTCTATCATTGGGCTTCGAAGCAACCACACAAACGAGCTTGTTGCATTTAGCTGTGACGACCTCTCAATTCGCGTTGTTGATGTTGAAACCAAGAAAGTCATTCGTGAATTTTGGGGATGCGTGGGCCAAATCAATGATCTCACTTTTTCAACCGATGGACGCTGGATCATTGCAGCTTCCATGGACTCCACAATCCGCGTATGGGATTTACCAACGGGCCATCTCATTGATGTATTCCGCGTCTCAAGCACATGCACCTCTTTGGCGATGTCCTCAACGGGCGAGTTCTTGGCTACTGCACATGCTGACGGGGTAGGTATCAGCCTTTGGTCCAACAAAAGTTTGTTTGTACCTATCTCTACGCGGAATGTGGATGAGCATGCCATGACAAATATGCACATCCCAACTTCTTCCAACGACGGCTATCCTGGAGTTATCGAAGCAGCATTCTCAGATGGTTCTGATGAAGCGGAAGTGGACGGCCCGTTACCATCCATTGAACAGCTCAACGGGGATATGGTCACTCTTAGTGTTGTTCCTAAGAGCAAGTGGCAAACGTTGCTTCAGTTGAATTTAATTAAGGTGAGCCCTTTCCCGCTCTTTGCTGTCACAGCTACAGGTTTATCAAATGGATTATGTGCCTCGCCTTGACCTAATGATCAGCTTCTGACCTCTGCCAGGAACGCAACAAACCTAAAGATCCACCGAAAGCCCCCCAGAAGGCTCCATTCTTTCTTCCAACTGCTGGTGAACAAAAGCTCCCCGATAGTGGTCCGAATACATCAAGTGAGGGCATGGTTGCTGAGCGCTCGCGAATCGCGAAACTCCACAATTCCAGGGATATGTCCGGAATCATGAGCACGCGTTTCACTGATCTTCTATATTCAGGTTATGTCTCAGGAGACTTCGATTTGTTTGTTGAGCACTTGAAAAGCATGCCTCCAGCAAAGGCAGATCTTGAGATTAGGTCACTGGATCCACAGGTACGGGACGGTTACTCTGAGCTATCCGCTTTTGTTTCCGCGTTGTCTACTCGCCTGCGATCGAGACGAGACTTTGAGCTCGTCAACACATGGATGGCAGTCTTTCTAAGAATACATGCCGATATTGTGGCAGAATGCTCTGGTACCAATGCAGACGACGACGAGAACGCTTTAAAATCTGCCCTTACGGGATGGAGTCAGGCACTGCAGCGAGAGGCACAGCGCCTGGCTGGATTGGTCGGTTACTGCAGAGGAGTAGTTGGGTTCTTGCGGTCTACACGCTGAGATTTTCTCGTATCTACTTTCTGGAAAGTTGGGCCACACGAACTAACATGATTGGCCTTCATTATAGCGCATTTCGATGTATAGTGACATTTCGGTACACAGTGATGTAAATTTATTGCTCTGAAAGTAATTCGTATATGTTAGCTAGCGTCCTAGTAGATCGACTAGCTCGAGTATCCCCAGATCCATTCACTTTTGTGGGTAGGGTTGCAGAATCATCTCGACCTGAGCGCGACTCGTCCATGTAGTCTGGCGAGTCCTCTTCATCTGAGCTCTTTCCCATGAGCTTAATCAGTCGATCTACAAGGTCACTGACGGAGCAATCAGTGCGAAATTCCTGAGTCATCTCGTGTACAGACCTCATCAAAATAGAGAGGGGAGGCAATTTATCCAATATAGTCCTGGTTCGAAGTGTCAGGTTGTCGGTAAACCCTGTACATCCAAGGATTTGTCTGAGAATCCTCAATGAATATAGCACGGATTGCATCTGCGCCATTAGATGAACATTAGCCCAATCAAGATTGTCACCGTTTCCCAACGTTAACAGTCGCCTTAAATGTTCCGTATGATGAATAGCAGAACCGGTTTGCTCATAGTGAATTATATAGAATGCGAGGACTCTCCAATATGCTGGCGAAGCAATTTCAAGCCGCGTTTGAAGATGTACTGTGTCCAAAAGTGAACATAGTGAACTCATTTCCAGCAGAAGCCACTCCCTATTTCCCATTGGTATGCGGTCTGTTGTAATTCTACTTCCTCGACGAACATACTCGTCGACGAAAGCTATGCTTTCGTCGGCAGAGAAAGATAGATTGAGAGCGGTATACGCCATGCTTCTATACAGCTTGCCCTGAGCCCATGCACATTGTCGCGCAGGGTCCTCATTTAGAACGACGAGATACATGCATAACTGTTCCGAGGATTCCGGAATTCTCCCACGCAATGAGAATAGCTCTGATATTCTTGGATCAAGGTGTTGGGGATAACTTTCACATAGCATTTCCTGGGAAAAGCTTGGTCTGCTTTTGTATTCTTCCACAAATCGACAATATCCCGGTATATGTTCGGAGGATTCATCTCTATCCTTTGATTGCTGTAATATCTGCTTCAAACCAGTGTCCGGGTGGGTTTTTAACTCGTAAGCTAAAGGAAGCAAGCTTGTCAGACCTAGCCGGTATGCGACCAGGTTTGGACACAGTCTCAGAGCTCGTATCAAGGTGTGCTTATGTCGAGAGATTTCGCACGTCCACGGCTCGATTGAATCCAATAGAACGACAGAACCATGTTTCCCAAGGTCATGAAGCAGTAGATCCGAGTCGTTAGTGAGTATAGCACAACCGGTGAGCCTAGCAACATGGGCGCAATATGTATCTGCTTCTCCTGGGACCATCACGACAGCATCTCTCCAGGGAAAATCGCTCAAGGAAACAGTATCCAGGTCTGGAACGTCTTTTACCACGCTGTTTATGTTCTTCTTGCACCATCGATGTTTGAGATCTTCGAAGACCGCAGGAACGATGAAGGGATTTTCGGGAATATTAGCATACTTTGCCGGGAGGCTCCTTCTCTGCAAAATGTTCTTCGGGCTTATTATGCGAGACCTGGGTGAGTTACGAGAATTTTGAAAGCATTGCGGTGAACTGGTCCGGAGCGTCACAAGTTTTTTTCTTGATCTCTCCAGTCGAGCAAGGCGCGTTTCCCGTTTGTCATCAGGTAACGCCCCGTCAAAGTATATCTTGTGTCTATTAAAAATTTAGCTTCAACACGGCCTGTTATAGGCAGCACAACGGACTATATACTGTACATTTTCACACCGAGCATGCTCAGTTGCAAGAGATAATACATCACCGCACAACTTACTTCATCGCAGGTTGGCTGTGAGGGGGTATTGGACAGCGATAACAGGCGCATGGAGACATTGTAAACAAGACTTGGTCCATCTATTACAACAGCCTCAACATGTTCTGTTTGTTTGTGCTGGACTTCCTGGGACTTTCCCAATATGACGGCCTCGGCAAACGGATATAAATGACGTGTAAGAAATGGTATTCCCATGGTGGAAAGGATGGCTACTACACAAACACGGACAGTGTGTGATGTTGCACTTCATCAGAGGCTCAGGTGTTAGGTTGGGTGTGCGAGAAACACAAAGAGAAAGTTATTAACAGAACTTGGATAACTGATTTATCCACAGTTATGCAGCCTGTATTATCACACGGCCCACAATTACCCCATGTCGTATTATATGATACACCGTTATCAGACTTTAAGGACTAAGAATAATAACAACTAGGGATATACAAAAAAAAATCTGATCTTTTCAATAAATAGAAAGGCATATTAATCAGATTACTTCGGCACATTGCGAAAATATTGCTAGTGACCTAGGCACCTAATCAATATCAAGCTCTACTATCTTTACTGCTTGCTATTTTGAAGCTTTTAATATTATTAGAATATTATAGTATATATAATAGTTCATGATTAATTGCTGGAACGACGTTTTGGGTCAATAATAAAGTCATAGTAAGGACTTGGTTCTTTTTACCTAGGTGACTCAGAGAAGCAGTTAAAATACAGCTTTTTCAATTTATATAATCATGACTACTTAGTGATACAAAGATTATATTTTAATATAATTCTCTAAATATATAATTATTTATCATAAGACTGTAGGCATTGACTAGATAAAAATTTATCATATCCAAGCAAGATTTCTGGATACAGGATCAGGAAAAACATAAGAATTATTATAAAAGATATTTATATATTTTAAGATATCTTGCTACTAAATACTTTAGTAATATTATTTATTAATTTATTAATTTCTAGAATAAATAAAATTATAATAATATCTTATCTACTTAGTTCAGTGATAAGGATAAGTAATAATTAAGTTATATAGTAGATCTTGTATAATTATCATAATTTGGAATATATACATAATCAATAGTATCAATAAATATAAATATTATATTGTTATTGAAATTCTCCGAAATTAAATGTTTTAATTGGAATCTTTATTAAATTCTTTTAAATAAATAATATAATAAAATGAAATATACAATATTTAGTTATTACAAATAATGGCATGATTAGTAATCATTCTTGACAAATTTATTATATTTGCAATCAATATATATAATAGTTGAAAGGACTTTATCAATATTTTTATATAATCAATAATAAGATAATTTTACATAGAAGAAAATATTTCCAGATTTTTATATATAAATGTAAATACTTTGATATCTGCTGTAATAGATATATTTATATATTTTAAATCTATAATATTATGTAATATATATTAAAACAGGTCTTTATAACTAACTAGTTTGTATATTTCATAGAATACTAATATCTAATCAACCCAATATCTTTGAAATTATACTTAAGTAATCTGATTTTTAAAAAATTAATAATCATTAAGATAATATAGAGTGTACAGGGACCCAAATTTATTATATGAGAATAATTTCATACATATAAACTAGAATAGTAATATTATATTTTAATAGAATTCTTGGTCTTTTAGGCTTCTATAAGGATGAATATAGTGAGATAGTATGAAGAGTATATTTTAATTATGAAATATTAAAATTAAGTTTAAAAAGAAACTCTATTAATTTAGTATCTATTTTAATTTTTAATTTATTAATAAAGATTTATCTAAAGCAGTTATAGGCTAAAAAATTAATTCAATTTAATTTTACTTTTAATTACCAGTTTAATATAGAAAATAAAAATATTAAAAATAGTATCTAATATTATTAAAATAATAGAAAATATTCAGTACTATATATTTTATTATATTATAAAAACTCTTTATATAATATTCCATGCAGTTCTTAAGATTTATTTTCATATTATATTTCCTTTTTTATTTTCAAATAAGTTAACAAAAATAACTGTTTATATATATTAGTATTACTATTTTACTAGATACTCTATAATATATATAATTAATTATTAATTATAAAAAAATTTAGATATAACTTAATACTCTTCTTATAATAGAAATTTAAAATAAATATTATTTAGTTTTTAAATGAGGATTCAGCAGGCTTTTTTAATATAAAAATTATTAATTTTATAATAATTTTCTTTTAGTGAAATTTATTAAATACAGAAATTATATACTTAAAAGAGAAGATATTTAGTTAATATTAATAATTTATATTTATATAAGTTTATATAAATACTAATAATTATGGAAATAATATTAATATAATAAATTTTTTAAATTCTATATAGTTAGCCATCCTGTGAGCTTTAATATAATATATATATAATATATTTTAATAAATTTGTTAATATTAATATAATTCTAGCCTTTATTAAATAATTATATTTAATAGATTAAATTAATAATCCAGGCCTTAATTCTCTTATTATATTAATATTTATATTGTTTGAAATATATAATATAATTATTTTTATTAATAACTAAATTATTATTTTAGCTTATATTAACTTTTTTAAATTACTGCTAGTTAAATTAATATATTATATAAAATATTCTTAGATATACTAATTAATTCTAATATCTTAATTAAATTATTTTTTATAATAGCTAGCTATGAAAAAACCTCTACTAATAAGTATATTAATTATTTTATTAAGACTAGCACCGAGATTACTGCATTAGAAGTAAAATATTAATATTAAATATATTAATAGAATAATTTTATTCTTAGCTTATTATATATATTTTAGAATTCTGATTAATAAAATATAGAAGATCCAGTAGATAATTAAGTTATATAGTTTATATATATAATATATTTTCTTAGAATCTATCTTTGACGTACTTATATATATATATAAATTTATATTAATAATAAAGCTCTGCTCTGATACAGATATAAATTAAAAAAATTATTTTTATATATTATCTTAATATTATCAGTTTCATAAGATTAATTAGATATTTATATAAGACAGAAAAATAAATAATTTAATATATTTTATTGTTATATATACAGCACGCAGGTGTAGAT